CCTCACGTTAAGAAGACGGTGGGATGCAGGTGGATCTATATTGTGAAACTCAAAGCAGATAGATCCATTGAAAGATATAAAGCTAGATTGATGGCGAAGAGGTACACACAGAGATATGTGGTGGACTACCAAGAGACCTTTGCCCCAGTAGCCAAGATCAACACTATTAGAGTCTTACTGTCTCTAGCAGCAAATCTAGATTGGCCAATACATCAGTTCGATGTTAAAAATACCCTTTTACATGGAGACTTGGAAGAAGAGATATACATGGATTTACCACCAGGATGTAATTTAACTCATGATAAGAAAAATCAAGTTTGCAAACTCAGAAAATCATTATATGAGTTAAAACAATCTCCCAGGGCATGCTTTGGCAGATTTACTAAGTCCATGAAGAATTTTGGATACACTCAAAGTAATTTAGACCACACATTTTTCTTGAAGCGTGATGGAGGAAAAATCATTGCATTAATTGTTTATGTGGATGACATGGTTATAATTGGGAACGGCACATGAGGGCAAAAAAAGCTACAAAAGTATTTGTCTCAGGAATTAAAGATGAATAATTTAAGTGCTTTAAAATACTTCCTCGAGATTGAAGTAGCAATGTCAAAAACTGGTATATTTTTGTCTCAAAGGAAGTATGTGATGGATCTACTTATTGAAACATGAATGCTTGGATGTAAGCCTGATGACACACCTATTGAGGTGAATCACAAGTTGTGTGAAGACATGGACCGATTGCCAACCAATAAAAACAATATCAACGCCTTGTTGGAAGGTTGATATATTTAGCACACACAAGACCAGATATTGCATATGATGTGAGTGTGGTTAGTTAGTTTATGCATTCACCTAGTGTTTCTCATAGAAATCCAGTTGATCGGATCTTAAATACTTAAAGTCAGCCCTTGGAAAAAGATTAATGTGCTCAAAGAATGGAAATCTTGAAGTTTGGGCTAGTTCCATTACAAATAGATGCTTTATATCGGGTTGCTTTACATTTGTTGGAGGTAACCTAGTCACCTGGCGGAGTAAAAAAATAGAATGTGGTTGCTCGGTCTAGTGTAGAAGAGAGTATCAAGGAATGGCTCAAGGAGTTTGTGAATTATTGTGGATCATAAGACTCTTAACAGAATTGGGTTTCAAACTAGAAAAGCTAATGGAGTTATATTGTGATAACAAGTCAGCTATCGATATTGCTCATAATCGAGTTCAAAATGATCGAACTAAACATGTTGAGGTGGATAGACATTTCATCAAAGAAAAAATTGAGAACAAGATCATCTATCTACTCTTCATAAAATCAAAAGATTAATTAGCGGATGTCTTAACAAAAGCTGTCTGTGGATGAGTGTTTTATGACTCACTTACCAAGTTGGGCCATGATGACATGTATGTACCAACTTGAGGAGGAGTATTGATGTGAGTTAACCTACTGAATCAAGGAGATTTATTTCCTAAGTTAATTAGGTGATTTACTTTCTTGTTTTATATAGTCGACACATCCTTGTATAATTATGAGATATTCTCCTAATTAATTACTATACCTATTTTCTTATAAAGCACCCTTATAAACTCCTATATATCTCCTTATGGAGAAGAATACAATTAACCTAAAGTATTCAAACCAAATATTATATTTTATAAAAAAAAACCTTAGTTCCATTGTAATTATGGGCTTGCCTTTATTTTATTGGGCTTCAAGTTGTTCCTGTCTTTGCTTTTTCCACTTTTCAGTTAATTTTATTTTCATATATACAGATCTTCTGGACAGTTAATGGGACTTGCTGGTTTAAACTATGCCTCTGCTACACTTAGCACAACCATGCTTAATCTCGTTCCAGCCTTTAATTACATTCATACTTGCATTACTATTCAGGTTTCTAATTTCCTTCAGTTTGTGTTTTTCTTACTATTCAACGTCAAGCTTTTTCTTCTGTTAAAAGCATGATTTTTTTCTTCTTCTTCCAACTCACCATAGATAATGACTAAAGCCACTTTTAATTATTTGTCAAGCAAGTCTCATGATTACTTGTGTTTTATTGTTTAATTAGGATGGAAAAGCTAAGGAGGCGTTTGGTATCCTATTCAAATAGGAAACTCAAAATCTTTGATTTTTCTTAAAACAAGGAGTTCTTAAATCTATTTTTAAAATTCAAAAACTTGTTTGGTGTGCAACTTGAAAACTGTTTGCAAATCTTAAAATTTTGAGAACTTGTGGGTTGTTAGAAAAAAACTGAAAAAACATATATTTTTTGTTTTTAATAATTAGCGTGTTTTTTTAGTTGTTCTTGAGTTTGAGTTTTAAAAAATAGGGCTACCAAATAGTTTTTCTTTGTTTGGACTCAAATTTTGTTTTTGAGTTTAAAAAGTTGGATTCAAGTTGAATACCAAACAAGCCCTAAACTGCTAAGACTATAGGAACTGTAGTGTCAATTACTGGGCATTTGTAGTGACTTTCTACGAGGACTCAGTGCTGTCATTTCATGTGTTTGATGTATATCATGCTTGTAAAGCATATTCAATATAGAATCAGTGCTGTCATTTCATTTATCTGCCGACATGGGTTATTAGGACTACCCTGCAGTGCTAATGGTAACAACAATTTGCGGCGTCTTCGTCATCATCCACTCTGCTGCAATTTCTACGATTGCTGTCAAAGGACTAAATGTATGAAAGCTAAAGTCTGATATTAAGCTCATAGCTATTAGGTACAATGTGAGAAAAGATCTTTTTCAACATTATTGGCTTAATTTTCTTTTGATTTTCAACCAAACTTTATGTGCTGCTTAATTGATTACTAGAGGCAGCTTTTGAAGCAATGCTGAGGACTGGTATTCATTTGTGGGCATTGAATCAAGCCACTTGGTTTAGTCATTGCACTTTTTGTTGGCGTGGCATTTTTTGGAAGGTAAATGTTATCTTTTATAATACTCTTTATATTGGTTGCAAGGATATAAATTATGAGATATTTAGTCATATACTCATTCTTAGTACTAAATCTATAAATAAACCCTACATTATTTAATATCTATAAACAAACAAAAAAAAAACTCAAAAAATGACAGTTTGCCCTGTTGAATTTAATTTTGATTATTAAATTACTTTGATACCCTATTGAGTGTTTTGAGCTTTTTTTTAATAAGGTTTTGAGGTTGAGTTTGTTTTAAGAAATTAATGACAATTTTGTAATTCAAAAGAAGTTAAAAGCCTCTTTGTTATGTTATAAATGAGATTTGGGTGTTTTAAAGTCCATTTCATATATGTTTTTTTTAATTTAAAAAAAAAAATAATTTGGGCTCCTATATTGGATATAATAGTGAATCTCCCATAAATTATAGCTTATGTTTCAACTTATTTCGACAGTGGTAGGGTTTTATGTTGTAATTTGGGAGAAAGCCCAAGAAGCGAGAGAGGAGCTCAAAATGATCAAACTAGAAGCTTGAAGTTGGAGTCATTTTCTCAAACAGAACCTCTTTTGCCTAAACAACGAGAAAGACTTTCATGAAACGATGATAACACCAATAACACTGTGATACGTGTGATAATACTTTCATGTGGCATAACATTATTGACTGAGATAGCAAAATAGTGCTCTCCCCTTTTTAGCCAATACAGGAAAAGAAATTGAACCATGACCCTACTTTTTGGGTGGGGTAGATGTTATTGTCAGTCTGTCATTAATAGCATGCAAAATTGACATCTCATTGGTGGTCAAAAGCATTTGCATTCTAGTAGTAAGAGAACATTGGAATAAAGTCCAACTTTTACTGAAGTGAGGTGAAAATGTGGTATAGGAATGATGTTCCACTTTTATTATGGTCTGGCATATTTCATTTTCCCTTTCTTTCTGAGATTTGTAAATAGGCATCTTGCTAAATTTATTGTCGGCTTAAAATGCTGTATGACAACCAGTGAGGTCATCTTTCAAAATATTGCTATCGACAAAGACAAATGTATAGATTCCTTTTATATATATAAAAAAAAATTGTTGTCCATATTACATGATACCTCAAATAATACTAGAAACACCAATTGATGTTGAAGAATTTCATTTGTTTCATAAATGGGCTCATTCATGATTTTATTTATTCACAATAAATAATTAAGAAATTGTCACATCAATTAATAACGGCATCAGATAAAAAAAATGGAGATTCACTATTATACTTAATATGGGGGCCCAAATTATAAAAATACCCCATATGAAATGGACTTTAGAAACACATCCAAAGCTCATTTATAACATAACAAAAAGGCTTTTAACTTCTTATAAATTACAAAACTACCATCAATTTCTTAAAACAAGCCCAACCCTAAAATCTCATAAAAATACTCAAAACACTTAATAGGACATCAAAGTAATTTAATAATCAATATTAAATTCAATAAGGCCAGCTGTTATTTTTTGAATTTTTTTAGGTTTGTTTATATAAATTCAATTGTGTAAGATTTATTTATAATATTAGTGCTAGAAATGGGTATAGCACTAAATATCTCAAAAAAAAATTAGTTGGGCCATTGGCCTTTACCTTCATAAACATACACAGGGCATGAAGTAAGCAAAGCAAACAAGCAACCGCATGAGGGGGGTGGGTACGCGTGGGCCAAGATATCTTAGCATAGGCGGTAGATAGGGAGAAACGTGTACCTGCGTGAATGAAAGTATAAAATCATGCATGCATAGTTTCTCTTTTAAACATCTAATCGTTGACGATTGAACTTGAAAATTTAACACATTTGCATTATTTCTGCATAACAACAGATTTTTCCGTGATAAAATTCTTCCATCAGATGTGACTCAATTTTTGGGCCTGAAAAATCAATCCTTGACTAATTTAATGCCAGAAAAGTATACCATTCTCGGCTTCAGTTTCATGCTTCCGCCTTTGTGGCTTTGACTCTTACCAGTATAATTCCTGGAGAGAGACAGAGAGGGAGACACAGAGAGACAGAGAAAGACAGAGAGAGACAGAGAGAGACAGAGAGATTTGGATATGGCGATGGGGATTTCAATGCCCTTTGTGGGAATGGTGATGGTGGTTCTTGCTCAGGTGACTACTTTGATACTAAACAAGGAAGCCATGGAAAGCGGACTGAGTGAATATGTTCTTGCTGTCTACTCTTTTGCTCTAGCCGCTCTCATTCTTCTCCCTTTTTGCTTCTTCTTCAACAGGTCTCTGCCTTTTCTCTCTGTTTCTCTCTCTCTCTCTCTCTCTCTCTCTCTCTCTCTCTCTCTCTCTCTCTAAGTTGATTTACTTACTTGTCTCTTCATTTGATGGCAGATCAGAGCGTCCCCCACTCAGCTTCTCCATCATCTTGAGATTATTCTTACTCAGCCTTATTGGGTTTGTCAAAAAGACCTTAGTTGAAAGTTGAAACTAATAACCAATAAATAAATACAAGTTGTTCTTGTCTTTGGCTTTTTCCACTTTTCAGCTAATTTTATTTTCATAAAAACAGATCTTCTGGACTGTTAATGGGACTTGCTGGTTTAAACTATGCCTCTGCTACACTTAACACAGCCATGCTTAATCTCATTCCAGCCTTTACATTCATACTTGCCTTACTTTTCAGGTTTTTAATTTCCACAGTTTCTGTTTTTCTTACTATTCAACGTCAGTCGTTTTCTTCTGTTCAAATAATGACTTTAAAAAAAGAAGGTATTTTCTAGAGCCACTTTTAATTATTTGTCAAGCAAGTCTCATGATTACTTGTATTTTACTGTGTAATTAGGATGGAAAAGCTAAATTGGAGGAGCTCAAGCAGCCAAGCTAAAATTATAGGAACTGTAGTGTCAATTACAGGGGCATTTGTTGTGACCTTCTACAAGGGCCCTGCAGTCGTACACGCACGCTTGTCCTCTGCTGGGACTGGCCTATTCAGTAATCTATTTCTCTTCTCAGAAAAATCACATTGGGTCCTTGGAGGGCTACTTCTAGCAGCTGACTCCTTCTCGACCTCATTATGGTTTATTGTGCAGGTGATGAACTTTTGTACAAGAAGTTCTAGCTGATATAACACCCACTTACCTCAAGTACAAATTAATATGATATGACCCTTCTTTTTTTCGTCTTTTCTTTCTCTTTAACCTTGAATTTTTGCAGGCCTCAATTCTTAAGAAGTACCCTGCAGTGCTGATCACAGTCTTCTTTTTCTGCTTCTTTGTCTGCATACAATGTGCATTAGTCTCACTGATACTTGTACAAGACCTAAGTGCTTGGAGGCTAAAATCTAATATTGCATTGCTTGCAGTTTTATACTATGTGAGCAACTCTGCATATAATTGTGATATCATATTGTTAGTGGATTAATTAATTTAAGTTATACATAATTTGTTACTTAACATGAGGTATAATTTGCAACATGTAGGGGATTGTTGGGATTTCATTTCGTACCAACATGTGTACATGGTGCCTGCAGAGAACAGGACCTGTGTATGTTTCTATGTTCAAGCCCCTTGCCGTGGTTTTCGCAGATGTCATCGATGTAATTTTTCTGGGGCAAGCTCTGTATCTTGGAAGGTATAATATAGATATATGTAGAAGATGAAGATGCAGCTTTTCACTTTTACTAATTACTGTATATCTTCCTTTTTTATTTCCATGGTACATAAGAAGTAATCAAAATTTTACTGCAGCTTGATTGGAGCAGCTGTAATTATCTCTGGTCTTTATGTTGTGATATGGGGAAAGGCCAGAGAAGAGAAGTTGCATGAAAACGGTGGAGAAGGGCAGAATTGCTTAGAATCATCCACTGAAAGGGTTCCCCTGCTGTAAAATGTGACACAGAATTGCCTTGTGTAAATATTATGGTCTTAATGTGTTCAGTATAGAATCAGTGCTGTCATTTCTTTAAAAATTGAAAACAAGAAATGGCAGATAAAAAAGTGAGATCATTGTCATTTCTTTATCTGATTTTTTTATCTGCAGACATGGGTTATTAGGGACTACCCTGCAGTGTTAATGGTAACAACAATTTGCGGCATCTTTGTCACCATCCAATATGCTTCACTTTCTCAGATTACTGTCAAAGGACTAAATGCATGGAGGCTAAATTCTGATATTGAGGTCATAGGTATTGGGTATAATGTGAGGGAAGATCTGTTTCAACATTATTGGCTTAATTTTCTTTTGATTTTCAACCAAAACTTATATGTGCTGCTTAATTGATTACTAGAGGCAGCTTTTGAAGTAATGCTGAGGACTGGTGTTCATTTGTGGGCATTGAATATAAAAGGTCCTGTTTATGTTGCCATGTTTAAGCCACTTGGGCTAGCCATGCTACTGTTGTTTGGCGTGCCATTTCTTGGAGATACTCTGCTATCTGCAATAACCATGTTTTATTCACCGACCCAAAAGAAAAAAAAGAAAAAAGATAAAAGAAAACGTGTCATTGGTTGCAAGGATATAAGTTACAGTGATGCAGTACGGAAGCACGGATTTATGGATCGACAAACGTCTAAATCAGAAAAGATAAACTAAAATCCACCAGAAAATAGGGTGAATCTCTAAAATTGGATTAATAATTTGAATAAACTTCTTAATTCAATACCAATATGCATTCCTTCTTTTCCTAGTGCTATAGATGATGCTCAAACACGATTTTCCATATGTGAAGCCCAATTTTCTGATTTTGAATTCGTCTCCTTTTTCAAATTTCCTTCGTAGGAACAAACCCATGATTTGTCCTACATCATATATCTTTGTTCCAACTTATTTCAACAGGTTGCTTTGAGCGGCTATAACAATGGTAGAGTTTTATGCTGTAATTTGGGGAAAGCCCAAGAAGAGGAGGAGGCTCAAAATGATCAAACGGAGTCATTTTCTCGAACAGAACCTTTTTACCTAGACAAGAAAAAACACTTGTGTGCAACAGGAATTGCAACATTTCACTTCACACAAGCTTTTCAACTAAACAAGGCACTGGGATGAAAAGTCTTGCACACCATCAAATGTCATGCTCTTGATGACTTGACATGATATTTATCACCACCACCACCATCGCCACCACTTGACATGCTCATTACCACCACGCTCCTCACCAACATTAATGTCTCTACCATTCCCACCACCACCGTCTCTACTACCATTCCCAACATCAAACATGATGGCCTACTACTATTTTGAATTTATAGAAATTTATAAAAATCTATCAAACTCTATGAAAATATTCTAACAAATTTCATCAAAATTCTTATGAAATTCAATCAAAGTATATGTGGAGTTTATGAAAGTCAAATAAAATCCATAGAGTTTTAACTACTTTAAAATCCATTAAAATCCTAATTGAATACCAAACAAGCTCTTGATGACTTTTGAAAACAAATATTCTTGTTAAATAGTTGAGATGATGGGTTTTTTTTTAATATAAAAAAACTCCATTTTTTCCTTTAATATAGATGAAGGAGATAAAATCGAACACAATATGTGGATAACTAAACACTCTCAATCACTTAAACGTAAACATTATGGTGTGGCCATTTTTCCCTTTATTATCCGATGCAACAAAGAAAAAAAAACATAAACATTAGCCAATAGAAGAAAAGAAATTGAACTATGGTGTGGCCCTTCATTTTCGGTGGGAGGGATGTTACTGTCAGTATGTCATCTCATTAGTGGTCTAACTTTAAAAGTAAGTCAGTCCCCTTGGTCCCCTCTCTACCAGTATGTCATCTCATTAGGGGTTTAACTTTAAAAGTAAGTTGGTCCCCTCTCTACCTAAGGTTTGTACATAGGCCTCTCACTACTACAAAAAGTGAAAAAGACGACCACAAAAACACGACGGTCTACGTGAAAACCGTCGTTGTTTTTTAAAAGACGACGGTTTTATAAAACCGCCGTGTAATAACACATTATACAACTTAAAAATGGAGTTTCAAATGGCTGTTCCAAAAACACGACGTACTTAATTAAAAAACCGACGTCTTATTGAAATAGAATTTTCAAGAGGTAAAATCGTAGCCAACAAATAACGGCGGAAGTTATGAACCGACCGACGTAGAAAGTAAAGACGACGGTTTCACAAAAAGCCGTCGTTTTTACCCAGAAATTAACACGACCAAGTTTTCGTATAAGGCGACGTAAAATTACAAATAAATCCACGGCGGTAAAATACAAAATACCGCCGTATTAAATTAATGTACAACTACGGCAAAGGTAAATATAACGACGTCTTTCTCGTATTTCTACGACGACATCTTTCAATCTTACGAAGTTGGGGTTTTTCATATAACGACGTATTATAGAATTTAACGTCGTATTTGTCCACTTTATACGTCATAAATTATATTTAAACCGTCGTCTGAATAAGAATTTTTTTTAACAATTTATTTCTTCGATTTTGTTATCCTACGTCGGTAGATCTACCTAACGACAAGAATTGAAATAACCACGACGGTTTATATAGAAAACCGCCGACATAATCAGATTATTCTGAGATCACAAGGGTTAGGAAATCTTACAAGATGGAACTCCAGATTTGTTGCTCATTATAATCTTACCAGAAAGACAATATTTTAGAGGTTAATGATGTATGTGTATTTGTGTCTTTGAGATACACAAACGCACATACACATTAACATCCAAAAAATTGCCTCTGAAATTTGACGACGGCAGCCTCAGATTTGCAATCAGAGAGACAATTTTTGGAAGTTGATGATATGTGTGCGTTTGTGTATCTACACAAACGCACGCACACATCAACATCCAAACAATTGCCTCCTAAAATTTCACGACGGCAGCCACAGATTTGCAATCAGAGAGACAATTTTTTGGAAGTGAATGATGCGTGTGCGTTTGTGTATCTACACAAACGCACACACACATTCACATCCAAACAATTGCCTCCTAAAATTTCACGACGGCAGCCACAGATTTGCAATCAGAGAGACAATTTTTTGGAAGTGAATGATGTATGTGCGTTTGTGTATCTACACAAACGCACATACACATTCACATCCAAACAATCGCCTCCTAAAACTTCACGACGGCAGCCACAGATTTGCAATCAGAGAGACAATTTATTGAAAATTGGTGATTTGCAATCCCAAGAGATGAGGTGAGACAGAGAAAGCGGCAAGAAAAAGTTGAAACCCTAATCGAATACTAAAACTGAAAGAACCCGTGGAAAAAAACCCTATTTATAATTAAAAAACCAAATCCACGTCGGTTATAATACACATAACGACGTTTAACAAAAACAATCCTCGTCGGTAACAAATACAGCACGTCGTTTTATTCTTACTTAAGACGACAATAAACGACGACGGTATAACAAAAACAGTCGTTGTTTTATATTTTTATTTGATTTAAATCAGTCACCTAGAAAAGAAACTTTACAAATTCTAGAACATTAATTTCCTCGGGAAAAAAAACTATATCTATAAGGCACTGTTTTTTGAAAAATAAACTATAAGAAAAAGGGGAAAAAAATTATATTTATAATAAAAATAAAAAAAATCCACGTCGGTTATATTACACATAACGACGTTTAAAAACGAATCCACGTCGTGGAAAAATAATACGTCGTTTTAGTTTAGTGTTATCCACGTCGGTATATTACAATAAAACGACGTATATTATGAAAATAAACGTCGTAACTTTAAAACAACCGTCGTGTTAAATATATCTACCATGACGCGAGATATTGAGTTATCGACTTTTATTTAGGAGTTTACTACGGCGGTACCTACAACACCACTGTCGTATTTATGTACCACGTCATAAGTTCAAATTAGCGTCGTAGTTTGTCTATTAATACGTCGTCGTTCTATGTAAACCGCCGTCTTATTATTATGAAACGGTTTGTATACATATACAACTTTTCGTCTACCTGACTTACACATGCACTGTTTCCAAACCCGAGAAAACATTTCAATCTCCCAGAGAAAACTTTTCGTCTTTTTTCCTTGTCAGAGCACTGTCAGAGTATCTCATCGTCTTCCTCTTGTCTTCGTCGTCGCCTCTGAACTTAAACACCAAAATCCGAGAGAAAGCTTTCATTGCACGCAAAAGGTAAGCTTTCATTTCTCACTATTTTTGTTGCTATTTTGCATGCTCATACTGTTTTTGTTTTGAAAATCTTTTTACCTTTTTTCTGGCGAAAATAACTTTTATTCTTTCCAAGTTTGATAAAATACACAGACAGAGAGGGAATGTTTCAACTTTGAACATAACTAATTCAACTAAATAAGACGACGGTAGCTTTTTATTTACGTGGTTAAATATGTAGACCACGACGGTTCATCAGTCGTCCTAGCGTCGTCTTAAAATTGATCTAAGTTGTTTTTAAAATGACGGTCAATTTTTTATTTGCTTGTTTAGATGCAGGTTCGATTTCTCTAAACCATGGTTTTCGTTTTTCCTAATTTGATAAAATACAGAGACAAAGAAAGTAGGGTTTGGTATCTTATATAGACGACGGTATCTTATTATTGACGCCGTGTGAATGTTCATACCACGACGTTATACTAAGATACCGTCGTCTATAAAAAGATGCCAAAGCTTTTTTTCTTTGTATTTTATCAAATTAGGAAAAACAAAAACCATGTTTCAGAGAAATCAAACCTGCAATCAAACATTCACAAAGAAAGAAAAATGTTTTTGGTTTCTTATAAATACGACGGTAGCTTATTATTCACGTCGTGTGAATATACATAACACGACGTTATATTAATATTTACGTCGTGTTAATATGAATATCACGACGTCGTGTAAATATCGCCGTAATAAGTTCTTATTACGTCTTATTTAATATTTTTTCGTCGTTGTTTAAACATTTATATTGTTCTTCTTTAATCATTTGTTACGTCTGATGTTATGTTATTACGTCGTGTAAAATATTATCATACGTCGTAGTTTATAAATAACCGTCGTTTGTGTTCTAATTTTTTTCACGAAATATTTTCACTTGCAGGTTTTTTTATTCTGTAACCATGGTTTCTGAAGATCAAAGTAAGTACTCTGGCTCCAAAAAAAATGGAGGTAAGGAGCTTGGAATGGTAACTCCTCAAGACAAGCCCTTGAAGAAGATGAAGTTTGTTTCATCTGCTGAGAAAGAACCAAGCAGCACGACAACAATTTCTGAGGATTCAAAGTCAGGTCGAGGTATGAGCACAATGCCTCGTGTTGTGAAGAGAAAATTGCAGAAAATCAAGCCAGTTGTTGAGTACAATAAAAGGGGGAAAGGATGTGGCCCTGCACATACTGAGATGCAGTCCTACATTGGTGTGTTGGCACGCTCCAGAGTCCCACTTGTGGACAAGAAATGGGCTGACATCCCCAATGATATAAAGGAGCAGATTTGGGAAGCCGTTGACATGGCTTTTGTGGTAGGTCAAGGGGGCAAGACCTCGGTGTTATCTTCTGCTGCCAAGAAATGGAAGGATTTCAAGTCTACACTGACGAGGCATTATATCCTTCCATACATCAATGAGAGGGAGAAATTAAGCCAACCCCCTGAAGTATATAAATTCATAGAGAAAGCAGAATGGGATGCCTTTGTAGCTTCAAGGTTATCCAAAGACTTTGAGTCTGTGCATTCTCAACATGCACAGATTAGGGAGAAACTTGAGTACAATCATCGATTGTCTCGAAAAGGATATGCTGGTTTGGAGGATCAATTGGAGGAAACCATGCCTGGGGTAGAAATTGATCGATCTACCTTATGGAAGAAAGCTAGACAGGACAAACATGGTAACATCCCCGATCCAAAGGTGGCAGAGAAAGCAAAATTAATTGTAAGCCTACACACTCTGTTTTAAACTGGGTAGAATTCTTATTACGTCTTATGTTATATTTTTCCGTCGTGTGAATGATTTTACTACGTCGAAATATTTTAAAAAACGTCGTGAAAGATCTAAATCTGGAATCACAACTCTGTTTTCTGTGATTATAGAATAAGACGTCGGTGGTTAATTTTTTCCGTCGTTTTAATGTTATTACTACGTCGAAATGTTTTCAAAAACGTCGTGAAAGAGCTAAATCTGGAATCACAACTCTGTTTTATGTAATTACAGCATAAGACGTCGGTGGTTTATTTATTGCGTCGTTTTAAACAACTAACCACGTCGGTTTTAATTAACGTCGTTATAAATGTATTATAACGTCGATTTCTATATTGGTGCGTCGTGTGAAATTATATATTGCGTCGTTTGTTTTTAAATAACCGTCGTGTATTTTCTTGTTCTGACTTTTTTTTATGTCTTTGTTTTAGGATGAATTGCAAAAACAAGTGGCTGAAGGCAGTCTGAGTATAACTGGCAGTAATGATGTGTTGACCTTGGCTTTGGGTCCCGAGCATCCAGGGAGAGTAAGAGGGGTAGGTGCTGGGATTTCCCCTAGGCAATTCTTCAATTTACCTAGACCACAAAGGGTAAAGTTTGCTGATCAATTGAAGGAAAGTGTAAGAATTGTCCTTCAAGAAGAGACTAAGAAGATGGAAGCTAGAATAGAGGCTGAGAGGGAACATTTACTAAGTCAGCTTTCCCACCTCATCCCCAATTTTGATCCAAGCATGCTTAAACCGAAAACTAGCCCCTGTCAAAACCAAGGTCTACAGCAAAGTCCCATGAATCCAATGTCTGATAAAGCAAGCTGTTCTGGGGCTGAAGTGAGATCCCTACATTTAGAGGATGATACTGCCAGAAATGGGGAACAGCAGGAACAAACGGTAACATATCTGAACTTTGAATTCTCTGTTTTTTTTTAAACATTAGACGTCGTTATTATTAATAAACCCGTCGTTTTAAAACCATACCACGACGATTTTATAAATAACCCGTCGTGTTTATTTAAATACCACGTCGTATTTAGTTTACTTGTTTGACACGCCATTAGACGTCGTACTTTGTGGCTTTTAGACGACGGTTTTTTTCCTTAACGACGTAATATAAAATTACCACGACGTTTATTATTTACCATCGTTTAATAATTTTAAGACGTCCATAATTCTTACATACCGTCTTATGTTATGCCTTACCACGACGTTTTGGTTTAATTTTTTAACTCTCTGTACAATCTGTCTTATATATATTTCTTTATTATTTAAAACAGAAATCTGGGGCTTTAGATAATCAAGATGAAGAGAAGAAAGAAGAAAATAAAGATGAACAGAAGATGGGAGAAAAAAAAGATGAAGGGAAGAAGGAAGAAAAAAAAGAGAATAAAGATGAAGGCAAAGAGGAAGATACAAATGTTGAAGAGAAGAAAGAAGAAAAACAAGATGAAGAGCATGACGAGGAGGTATATTCTCATAACTTTGCCTTTTTAATTTGTTTTTCACATTTCAGACGTCGATATTTTTCTTTAAACCGTCGTTTGTTTTCACATTAGACGTCGGAATTTATTTTCTACGACGTAATAAATAATATAAAACGACGGTATTTAATTACCGTCGTTTAAATTATAATAAGACGACGTTTTTTAATTTAAACCGTCGTTTTTAATGAATTACCACGTCATTTTATTTTGCTTTATTTCTTTAAACAGGGTAATGAAGTAGTTGATTATTCGAATGTGGAGGTGCCATCTTCCTTACAATCCCTTTGTGGTTATGTGGAAACTACACTAAAGCCACAGGGGAAGATCATGACCTTCAACATTGAGAAGGAGGTGTTTGGTGCAGATCGAAGTACCTTCGTCTTGCATGAAGATATTACACAGTTTTCAGGCATGGAAGAAATTGGGGCTACTGTGGTTGCAGTATATATGAGGTTTGTCCTAATCAATATCATAAGACGTCGGTTGTTTAATTATTGAGTCGTTTTAAACCACTAACCACGTCGTTCTTTTTTACTGTCGTGATAAATTAGTTATCACGTCTGTTTCTATTTCAGTTCGTCGTGTTAAATTGTATAATACGTCGTTTGTGTATAAATAACCGTCGTTTGTTTTATATATTTAGGTGCTTATATGATCTTTTGAGAGAAGCAAATATGTGCAGCATGGTTGGCTTTATCGACCCTGCTCAAGTTAGTGCCAACGCTGGGTCACTAACTGACAGATCACGAATTGTAGCCAGTCGACTTCAGAAAACAGATGGTGAACAGATTTTCATGATGCCTTACAATCCAGGGTTAGTCTCCTTAAAAGGATTTTGTTTGTATGATTTTCACTTATAAAACTGTTTAACTAATTCTGTGTCGTTTGAAACATCTAACCACGTCGGTTATTTATTTATTGAGTCGTTTGAAACAACTAACCACGTCGTTAGTTAATTCTCGTCGTGATAAATTTATAATGACGTCGATGATTAAGTTATTACGTCGTGTGAAACTATATAATACGTCGGTTTTTATAAATAACCGTCGTTTTTTATTTTATTTTTGTGCAGCCGTCATTGGGTCTTGCTGATTGTGAGGGCAAAGAGGGAAACCGTCTATTTTCTGGATCCTCTGCCTGGAAATCGTGTGGTTGATGAGGAGGGCAAAAACATTGTGAACAGTGCTTTAAAAATTTATAATTCCCACATAGGCAGACCAGGCCGTAAAGCACCTATTTGGAAAACTCTGCCAGGCACACCAAAGCAACCCAGCAGTGTCGAATGCGGGTATTATGTGATGCGCTTCATGAGGGACATCATCATGGATCCTTCCTTGGAGTTTGAGAAGAAGGTAAGAATAAAATTTTCAGAAACATTTTATGTGGTTTTTTGTATTATCAACGACGGTCATTTAAAATTACCGTCGTTGAATCGATAGACTACGTCGGTTATGAAAAAAAACGTCGTCTGTAAAGCTTAATAATCTTTGTTTAAGGATTGCAGTTTGCCAAGGGAAAAGATCAAGCGCCATACCCCCAAGCAGCCATTGATGAAGTCAGGAAAGAATGGGCAGAGTTTGTTTGCCTTCATATGGATTAGAGGATTTTTGGAACACTTGATAATTTTTTATGTACTAATTTTGTCTATAATATATAATGTACAAATTTTGTCTATAATATACATCCTTTTTTTCCCTGACAATTTGCTGAGGTTTTCATATTATAAAAGAAAAAACAAATTGCGTAACCGACGTGTAATAACTTTCCAACGACATAATTATGTAAAAAACCGACGTAAAATGATATTTAGACAAGATGGGACGTACATGGGACGTCGTTTTGATGAAAATTTCGCCATGGTTTCGTTTTTAAACGACGTCCTTTTGAACAAGTAAGTCGTTCATTAGGGTTTAGGGTAATACCTTTTAACGACGGTGATTAGGTCGTGGAATATCTATTTTACGTCAGATAGTGAAACATCCGCCATGGTTTCTCTTTTAAACGACGTCTTTTTTACATGTGAGTCGTTTATTATTATTTACAACGTCACTGTTGTTGATATAAGAATATTTTATTATTTTTAATTCAAAATTTTAAAAATAAAATTAAAATAAATTCAAAAAATTCAACTTCAACTCCTATGAAGTCATTGATATATTTTCTTCCCCCTAAACCCCAAAAAAATGCAGTTTGTGTAATAAAAGTTTAAAATGACCAACCAAAATAAAATTGTTGTTATGTGTCATAGCATCACTTATATAGTTTGATGGTTTAGGGTTTAGGGTTTGGGGTTTAGGGTTGTTATTTATTAGGGTTTATGGTTAAAGTATAATTTTTGGGGTTTAGGGTTTATGCTTGTTATTTATTAGGATGTAAAACCATAAAACAATTTTATAAAATTAAATTTTACAAATATATAATTTATGGTTTTAAAGTTTAGGGTATTACTTTTAACGACGGGGATTGAGTCGTGGAATATTGAGTTTACGTCGTATGGTGAAAAATCCGACGTGGTTTCTGTTTTAAACGACGTTTTGTTTACCTTTTAGTCGTTTATTATTATTTACAACGTCGTTAGTTACTTAACCCGCCGTGGTTTGTTGTTGATATAAGAATATTTTATTATTTTTAATTCAAAATTTTAAAAATAAAAATAAAATAAATTCAAAAAATTCAACTTCAACTCCTATGAAGTCATTGATATATTTTCTTCCCCCTAAACCCCAAAAAAATGCAGTTTGTGTAATAAAAGTTTAAAATGACCAACCAAAATAAAATTGTTGTTATGTGTCATAGCATCACTTATATAGTTTGATGGTTTAGGGTTTAGGGTTTGGGGTTTAGGGTTGTTATTTATTAGGGTTTATGGTTAAAGTATAATTTTTGGGGTTTAGGGTTTATGCTTGTTATTTATTAGGATGTAAAACCATAAACAATTTTATAAAATTAAATTTTACAAATATATAATTTATGGTTTTAAAGTTTAGGGTATTACTTTTAACGACGGGGATTGAGTCGTGGAATATTGAGTTTACGTCGTATGGTGAAAAATCCGACGTGGTTTCTGTTTTAAACGACGTTTTGTTTACCTTTTAGTCGTTTATTATTATTTACAACGTCGTTAGTTACTTAACCCGCCGTGGTTTTTCATAGTTTTAACGCCTTTTTTGATTTTGCGTGGCACATAGTTTTTACCACGACGTCCTTAATGTAATAAGCGTCATGTTTAATGTTAAATTTTAACGACGCTTGTTTTTTCGGTCGATGTTTTAAAAAGCGCGCTTTCTTAAAATATTCGCGGGACCTAAAATTTTCAGATTTGGCTCTTATTTTTATACTTGTAACCCTGAACCCTAAAATTTTCTGATTTCGCGCAACATAACATTTCGCTCTCTCACTTCATCTCTAATTCAAAGTTGGGCCAGGCTGTGTCAAATCCAATTTGGTCATAATCTGTGAGCTCTGCCAACCTGTAAGTACAAACCCTCTCTTCCCCTTGTAAATTCATTGAATGATATATTACGTTGTTTTGTTAAAGGGTTTTAGGTATATGTTTTGCGATCTGTTAATAATGTTGTTGGAGGTATGGGTTCATGGATTGTCTGTTTAATGTTTTCTTGATCACTCTGTTATGTTGAATATGGAATGGATTTCATTTTGTCGGATCTTTTAATCACTCTCTGTTATGTTGAATTGGGAATGGATTTATTGTTTTCATGCTTAGTATATGTTGGTTTCATGTATATGTTGGTTTCTTGCTTGGTTTCATGTCTATAACGTTGTGTTCTTAATAGGGTTTTGGGATCTTGAAAATGAACTGGATAACGACGCGTTTTCAGGCATACGACGACGGTTTTTACTTTAAACCGTCGTTTTTATTACTTATACACGACGGTGTTATTTAACTACCGTCGTGGTTATAATTAGACGACGTAAATTCCGTCGTCTATATATGTCAAAGACGTCTGTTTTTGTTTAAAAACCGTCGTCTCTGTTGTATATTACTTGCTATTAGACTTTATATAATCTGCTATAGTGATGGTCATTGCTTGTCTTTTCACTTTATTATATATAATAGGGTATAGTGTCGGAGATGGATAAGTCATGGATGCACTCGGATAGAAGATCGAAGGCATATGAGTTAGGGGTGGAAGCATTTTTGAACTTTTCTGTAGAAAATCTTCTAACTACCACACATATCCGTTGTCCATGTGTTAAATGTGTTAATTTGAAATTGTTTGGGGTTGGAATTATAAGGGATCACTTATACTTTAATGGAGTTGACCAAAGCTATAAGAATTGGACATTTCACGGAGAACCTTGGGAAGCAGCTACTAATGCTAGTAGAAATGTTGAAGAAGATGATGACCATAGTAGGTACAGTTTTGTGTCTGAAGAAATAGAGATGGATGATAATGATTTTGGTGATTTTGGATCTGATCCTTATGAGTTTGCCAATGTTATTGGGGATGGAGATCAACCATTGTACCCTGGTTGTAGAAAGTACACGAAGTTATCGGCATTAGTGAAGTTGTATAATTTGAAGGCAAAATATGGGATGAGTGATGTCTGTTTTACAGAATTATTGATACTTCAAGGCGATTTGCTTCCAGAAGGAAATACAATACCGGCCTCTATGTATGAGGCAAAAAAGACTTTGTGTGCATTGGGGCTGAGTTATGAGAAAATGCACGCATGCCCCAATGATTGCATCTTGTATAGGAAGGAGTATGAGGATTTAACTCATTGTCCTAATTGTGGTATCTCAAGGTGGAAGGAAGGCAAAGATTCAATCTTGAAAGAGGGTGTGCCAGCGAAGGTGGTGTGGTATTTTCCTCCAATTCCAAGGTTTAAAAGGATGTTTCGATCACATGAGACCGCTAAGAGTTTGACTTGGCATGCTGCTAGAAAATCAATTGACGGTTATATGTCTCATCCAGCGGATTCCCCGTCTTGGAAACTTCTTGATGATAAATGGCCCGAGTTTGGTAATGAGCCGAGAAACTTGAGATTGGCTCTTTCATCTGATGGATTCAATCCCCACAGTTCTCTAAGTAGCAGATATAGTTGTTGGCCAGTTATCTTAGTTACATATAATCTCCCTCCATGGCTGTGCATGAAACGAAAGTTCATGATGTTGACCTTATTGATTTCCGGTCCTAAACAACCGGGAAATGATATAGACGTCTACTTGGAGCCTTTGATTGATGATTTAAAATCTTTGTGGGATGGGATTGGAGGAGTGTATGATGCACATAATGGAGAATACTTTACACTCAGAGCTGCATTAATGTGGACAATTAATGATTTCCCCGCCTATGGAAACTTATCTGGTTGTGTTGTTAAAGGATATAAAGCTTGTCCAATATGCGGCGATGATACACCTAGTCACAGGTTGAAAAATGGCCACAAAATTTGTTACATTGGGCATAGAAAATGGTTACCGATCAATCATCCATATAGGAGGCAACGTGCAGCTTTTAATGGGAAACCTGAATATGGCACGCCTCCTGAGCCATTAACCGGAGAAGAAGTGCTGCATATGGTTGAAGATGGTGACAGAGTTTGTTGGAAGAAGAAATCAATATTCTTTGATCTCGAGTATTGGAAATACCTTCCTGTGAGGCATGTCCTAGATGTTATGCACATTGAGAAGAATGTTTGCGATAGTATCATTGGTACATTGCTGGAGATCCTTGGAAAAAATAAAGATGGGATTGCTGCTCGATTAGATTTATTGAACATGGGGGTCAAAACTGATTTGCAACCCGAGTATGGAGAAAGACGTACTCGTTTGCCTCCCGGGCCTTGGAATTTGTCAAGAGCAGAGAAGAGAGAGGTTTGCAATTCTTTCTATGGTATGAAGGTCCCTGAAGGTTATTCTTCAAATATAAAAAATCTTGTCTCTTTATAAGATTCAAGACTTCTTGGCCTTAAATCACATGATTGTCATACCTTAATGCAACAATTGCTCCCTGTGGCAATTCGTTCTGTTTTGGAGAAGCCTGCAAGGTATGCAATAACTCGTTTGTGCTTCTTCTTCAATGCTATATGTGCAAAGACTGTTGATGTTTCCAAGCTAGATAAGTTGGAAGAAGATGTAGTAGTTACTTTGTGTTTGCTTGAGAAGTACTTTCCCCCTTCATTCTTTGATATCATGGTTCATCTAGTAGTACATCTTGTCAGAGAAGTTCGTCTGTGTGGGCCAGTATATTTTAGATGGATGTATCCGTTTGAAAGATATATGAAAGTGTTAAAGGGGTATGTTCAGAATCGTACTCGTCCCGAAGGTTGCATTGCTGAGCGGTATATAGCTGAAGAAGCTGTAGAGTTTTGTACCGAGCATTTATCTGATGTTAGTACAGTTGGAGTGCCTTCAAGCCAAAAGATGGGAGTTTCAAAGCCATTATCAGGTTGCACAGTGAGCGTAGTTGATCGGGACCTGTTGAACCAAGCACATCTATATGTCTTGGAGAATACGGAGGAAGTCCTACCTTATATCGAGTACGTATGAGTTTTATTCTTTAAGTTTCCATTTTAAATTATTTCTTATGTTTATCTTATATGTTTGGGACCGTAATACTTGAATTTTGTGTGTCA